GTGGGTGGCTCGATCCGTGCCAGGTGCAGGGTCTGCTGGCTGGGTGCTGGCAGGCTTGCACCTGGCACGGGCACCGTAACCAGCCCGTGACCTTTAAGAGGTCCGGGGCCGGGAGGGGGACAGTAGAGTTTCCCTGGTGTTGGCCAGAGTGGCCACCAGGGAAAGCTGGGGAGGGCTAGCCTCCCACTAGTTTGAATTAAGGGGCTACATACCCCTTAATTCGAACTAGCTAGTTCGAACTAGGCGTTAGTCCTCGTAGAATGAGGATTACCTAGTTCGAACTAAGCGCTCCGTTAGTTCGAATTAAATTTGAACTAACGGAGCACTAGTGTAGCGCCTATGAAAGTTAATTCGAACTAACGTCCGTTAGTTCGAACTAACTTTGTAGTGTAGACATACCCTCAGTCTCTCAGGTCCTGAGGACCAGGTGATAGCAAATAACACCTTGGGCCTGGAAGCAGGACAAAGCAGGAGGTGGGGCTGCCTGTGGAGTGGCAAACAGTGGCTGTGACTGAGTTTTTGCCTGGCTTGGAGGAGAAGGGAGCCTATCTGGCGTGTAGGGCTGGGTCCCCCTTTCCCCAAGATGGATTGTACTGACTGCTCCTGCTTCCTGTAACAATAAGTCTAGGTTATACTATGTCCCCTGTGAACCAATAAACCTCTTGTTCTACTTGCTGTCTGAGAGTCACAACTGGCTGCAGATGGGGGTGCAGGATCAGGTGACTCCCCCACAAAAGCTTAAACCAAATTTTAACTATAAAGGCCAGGAGGAAACTTCTCCAGAGTCAGGTCATCCAAGGGGCTTTGATTCAGGCTGTACATAACATTGCTTTAAAAACATGCGCAGAATATAAGAAGGAAAATTCACATAAAATATTGAAAGTTTGGTAACATTTCTTTCAGATTTCTGGTGGCCCTAACTTCAGCCAAAGGCCACAGTCTTGGGCCCATGTGAGGTTCCTTTGTGTGTACATTGTCAAACTAATTCAGAAAAGGAAATACTGAATGCTATTTGCACAGTAAAATACCTTTAAGCCTCCATTCTCTACATGTAACCAAAATGCATTTATGTGCAATGCTTGCAAATTGTGAATGACAAATAATCGTTTCCTGCTCATGTTGTATTCTCTTCTTAGGTCAGTAGTGGGCAAATACTGGCCTGTGGTCTGGATCCAGTTCACTGAGGTTAGCCCTTGGCACCCACCACTGCTGTACTTACCCGTGCCTCCATAGGTACAGGTGACTGCAGCTCCTGTTGGCCACTGATCGCCATTCCCGGCCAATGGAAGCTGTGGGAAGCGGTGTCTCAATCCACGCCAGTGGGAGATGCGATGTCCTGTACCTGCAGAGGTGTAAGTAAATATAGCAGTGGCGCCCCACCAGGGGATAACCCTGGCAAGCTGCCACTGTCTTATTGCCCACCCCTGTCCTAGGCATTCATTACAGCACTTGTCCCCAGCATCCATTCCTTTGCCTGCATTTATGATCTCATGCAGTAAACGTGCTAATTTATCTTTTCCCTACCAATCTTTTAATCTCTCTTCTAAAACAAACTGATGTCTCACTTCCTTTGCTATCGCCTTTGTAGCAGCACCAGGTGATGAACCAAGGGCATAGCTGCTTCTCATCACAATAGAATGTTTAAACTATAAATATCTCCTGAGAAATGGCAGAGGGGCTTTATTACATTACTTATATAGCCCCCGAGGGTACAGTGCATGCTTTGCAGACAAATGAAAAGGATCCAATCCCTCGCCATCACACATCACAGTCTTACACCCAGATCCTGCAGAGAGCACCATGCAGACAGACCATCCGAGCTCTGTGCAGCAGCAGGCTTTTTCTTCGCATACAACCAGCTGCAGGAGCAGAACCTGATTTTAGTCATGACTGAATTGAAAGCAATAAACCAATGGGGAAGGAGGAAGAGCTAAAGAAAGGGACTACAAAATAAGGTTATAGGGTTTCTTAGGATTGTTAAATGCTTGTCTTTATAGTTCCCTGATGTCTACAGTAAACATACACATATCAGTGTGTATAGTCGCAGCCATGTCAGTAAAAGGCCGATTGATGGGAGTGTGAGGAGCTTTATTTGTACATATAGTATCACAACAGCTGGGGTAATTTCTCAGCATGCTGTTTGAGTGAGATGGTTCAGAACTGCTGTTGACAATGAGAGGTGCCTGTGTAATACCCTGAGTGCAATACATCATCCTTTAATGAGCCTTTTTATTAAGAGAGAGAGGCTGTGTGCTCAGTAATGATCTTATGCACCATGTAAAGTGTCCTTTGCTGTAGCAACACCACTCATGCTTGCAAGGCAGGCAGAATTTCAACAAGGCAAAGTGAATTATTTCATCCACTGAATGATGTAAATGCAAATGAAATTATTTCATTACCTGCAATCTAAAACTCTTTGGGTATGTTAGCACTGCAATTAAAACCCAGCAAGGGCTGGCACTTGTTATCTGACTCAGGCTTGTGTGGCATGTTAGGCTACCTGGCATTTTAATTGTGGTATAGACATTGGACTAAACTGGCTTCTGGGACCACAAGAGGGAGACAGATCCCAGGGAACAGGCTCCAGCCTGATCCCCAAAATCTATACTGTAATTAAACAGAATTGGTATGAGAGCCCTGCAAGCCTGAGTCAGCTGACACGGATCAGCAGCCGCAGGTGTTTAATTGCAAGGATAGACACATCCTTAATGAACGAGTCAGAAATGCATACACTCAGCTTTTTATGCAATAGCATTACTCATCAGTTGCTGAGGCAGGGAGAAGGCATTAGTCTCTGGAGACTTACAGCGTTGTGAATAAAATTAGGATGGTCTTCTTTCCGTCTTTTTGTTTTAATTCCCACTTTCTCCAAGCTGGCCCAGTCTTATTATCCATCCTCCCTTCTCTTGTGCAACACTCTTACCTGCCAGCATCAGGGATTGTTTCAGTAACTCTGCAGCTATACAGCCATCCATGGGTCATTTAAAAAGGCACACAGGACCGGAAGATGGGGATAGGAAAGAAATGTATGATGTAGATTGTACTTTTTATATTCATCTTGCTACAAAACAAAAGAATCATGGTTATTTTATCTGGTGCCTTGGGTATTCCACAGGAGATATCCTACTGCTTTTACTTGACAAGAGTGTAAAATGGAAAGTAGAGCTGAGGGGACAGGTTGCTGTACTGAAAGCAGCAGGGAAGTGTTGATGCATGTATTAGCATGACAGTTGAATATGCTCCTTACTGTGTTACCGTCCTTGAGGTCTGAGGTGCGTGTTGTTATTGTTTCCCAGCAAATTACATTCATGAGGATGCTGAGTAAAGTGAACTTAATCCAGCAAAATGGCAGAAGGACGACAGAGGTGGGTTTCGGTGCAGCCAGAGAAACAATAGTGGCTGCATTGTAAAGAGCCATCTGCAAACCCCATGTGCTATTTTTACATTCCTACAGCTGATACCACGATGCTATTACAGTGTGAGGATTGATCCCCTTGATTTACAGACTGCAAACTGCACAGCTGTGTCTAGACTGGCCAGTTTTTCCGGAAAATCAGCCGCTTTGGAAAAACTTGCCAGCTGTCTATACTGGCCGCTTGAATTTCCGCAAAAGCACTGACTTCCTACTGTAAGAAATCAGTGCTTCCTGCGGAAATACTATTCTGCTCCCATTCAGGCAAAAGTCCCTTCTGCGCAAAGCTTTTGCGCAAAAGGGCCAGTGTAGACAGCTCAGATTTGTTTTCCGCAAAAAAGCCCCAATCACGAAAATGGCAATCGGGGCTTTTTTGTGGAAAAGCGCGTCTAGATTGGCACGGACGCTTTTCCGCAAAAAGTGCTTTTGCGGAAAAGCGTCCATGCCAATCTAGATTCTCTATTCCGGAAATGCTTTTAACGGAAAACTTTTCCGTTAAAAGCATTTCCGGAAAATCATGCCAATCTAGACGCAGCCCACACGATTAAGTGATAATGTAACTGAAGTTGAGTGTTTGATGACCATCTAGAACAAGGGTGGGGACCCTTTTTTGGGTCAGGGACTGCTGACCCACAAAAAAATCAGTCAGGGGCCACACACAAGTGAAAAGCAAAAACAAAAACAAAAAAAACTCAAAATAAATAACCCTCTCTGACCCCCAACTGAGAAGGAGAAAGACACAATCCCACATTCCCAAAGCCTAGGGAGCCCTAGGCTAGTAGATTTTGTGTGTTTCAGCCCCATAGAGGGATGGCAGGGGGCTGGAGTAACAGTGTGGTCTCTCCAACGTTAGGGGGGGTGGCCTTGAATCTCGGGGGCCAGATCCAAGTTAGCTGGGGATGGCATCTAGCCCCTGGGCCTGAGGTTCCCCACCCTGATCTAGAATAAAGGATTTCCTTGCTCAGGAGTGGGATTTTGTTGTTTTTTAAATATACTAACAAAGAATTTGTGGGGTCCAAGGTGGCACATGAGTGAGTGAATAGCTGGGTGAGCAGGCATCTGGCAGCGCAGGGCCCAAGGCAACTGCCTTGCCCACCTTGACCTAAGGCCAGGCCTGGCTCCAGATCTTGATGTATATGGAGTTGAAATCTGGCATCTCCATGACACTCCACTTGTATCATTAACAATGTAGCCAATGATTTTCTTGTTCATTTCTTGTTTGATGTTGATAATTGACTATCATGTTATGTCAGATATAATCACTGTGTATTATATAGGGTTAAATTATTGGTTTATAATAGTATAAGATTGTTTAGGTTAGAAGGGATACTCACATATTAGGTATCTCAGTAAGTAGGGTTGAAATGCAAGGTCTACTGGCTGAAGTGTGTGTAAATGTCTGGGGCTATGTCTACACTGTGTTCTTTTTCTGTTAAAAGATACGCAAATTGCGAACCACAATTTGCGTACCTTTTTTTCCCAGAAGAGGCTTTTCCCACCTTTGGCCCATCTACATGGGGCCAAATCTGGGAAAAACCTTCTCTTTTGGAATACGCCCACTTTTTTGGAAATTGTTCCGAAAAAGCGGACACGATCCCTGGTCACAGAGGTATCCTAGAAAAACTCTGTAGTGCAGACATGGCCTGAGTGGTCCCTACCCTTGACCTTTGAGTTTCTAGAGACTCTAAATCTCAAGCAGATAACAGAGGTGACTTTCATTCTGTTAAGCTTGATACTGTAGCTACCAGAACCAAACTCACAGTGGTTTGGTGGCACATTACAATATTCACTTTAAATACAAGGAAAGGCTACATGCAGTGCCCTCCATCTGACACAGGACAGGAGCAGCTGATTCTGACAGCAAATGCCACAGGAGAGAACAACAGCCCTTGGGTACCCATAGTTAAGCTGGTGACCCTATGATGAGTATGTGTTGATAGGTGGGGGGAGTAGCCCCAATTCACAGAGGCTACGTCTAGACTACAAGCCTCTTTCGAAAGAGAGCATCTAGCCTACAAGCAGATTTTTCGAAAAAGCGAGCCTCTTTTTCAAAAGAGATTCTAGATGCTCTCTTTCGAAAAAGCAGTTTCCATTCAATACAGCCTTTTTTTGAAAGGGTACTTTCAAAAAAAGGCGTTATTCCTCGTAAAATGAGGTTTACCATGATCGAAAAAACAGCTGAGTTCTTTCAATTTACTTTTGAAAGAACGTGGCTGCAGTCTGGATGCAGGTGAAGTTTTTTTGAAAAAACCCTGTAGTCTAGGCACACCCTGAGGCATGTCTACAGAACAAATGAAAACCTGCAGTTGGCTTGTGCCAGATGATTCAGGCTTGTGAGGCTCCGGCTGCAGGGCTATGCAGACTTCCAGGCTTAGGGTGGAGCTTGGGCTCTGGGACTCTCCCATCCACAGGGTCTTAGAGCACGGGTGGGCAAAAGGGATCCAGCCCTCCAAGCAGGTGTATCTGGCCTGTGGAGGGCCTGCTGCTCCCCCGCCCCCAGGCCAATTAGGGTCTGGGGGTGAGAGAGCACCCAAAACCTTCTCCGCTCTGCCAGGAGCATATGGCACTTTGAAGCACTGTGTGCTGCTTGCAGGCCTGGGGAGGGGAGGGCAGAGGAGGCTTCGCATGCTCCCCCGCCCCAGACGAGTCAGGGCCTGGGGGTGGGAGAGCTGTGTGAAGCTTCCTTTGCCGTACCCCGGCCTTGTGAGGAGCCAGCGGCACTTCAAAGTGCCATGTGCTCCTCACAGGGTGGGAGGAGGCTTCCCGTGCCTGCCCCGCCCCCCCCCCCCCCCCCCCCCGCCCGT